GTCAAAGATTTCTTCCTCACATCCAACCTCAGTCTCCCCTCTGTTAGTTTGAAGCCATTCCCCCTCACCCTGTTGCTATCAGATGGGTAAAAGTCGCTCCCCCTCCTGCTGTGCTTCCCAGTACTGAAGGCTCAGTGCGGTTTCCCCGGAGCCAAACACCCCCAGCTCCATCAACACGTCTCCATAGCAGAGGCGCTTCAGCGCTCTGAGCATCTTTTGCTCCCACTCCCACGGCCCCACATCCCTCCTGTTTTGGGGACCCAGACCTGGATGCAGCACTGCAGGTGGGGCCTCACAAGGGCAGAGCAGATGGAACAGCCCCCTCCCTGCCCACTGCCCCCCCATAGGTGCAGCCCAGAGGGGGGACTGTGGGACTGCCAAGGACCACAGCCCCCCAGCTGTGACCGTCCAACCACACAAACCCCATCTCTCTCCTATTTTGCAGTTTGGGGCCGTGCAAAGGCCTTGCACAACTGCAGGCTGACAACTTGAGTTGCCTTTCCCTTGTCCACCGATGCCATCACTGAAGGCCACCAGGTGGGTCAGGCACATCCGCCCTTGGCAAACTTGGCAAGCAGCGAAGCCCCCTCCCCAGTTCTTTATGGTCCTTGGCTTGATGCTGCAGGATCTGAGCCCCCTGGCAATGTGGGGCTCACCATCACATCGTGCCACCGCAGTGTGGGGCTCACCATCACAGTGTGGGGCTCATCATCACAGTGTGGGGTTCACCACTGCAATGCAGGGCTCACCATCATGATATGGGGCTCACCACTACAATGCAGGGCTCACCATTGCAATATGGGGCTCACCATCACAGCACAGGGCTCAGTATCACAATGCAGGTCTCACCATCACGGTGCAGACCCCACCATCGCAATGTAGGGCTCAATTTTTTGACTTGCAATGCCCCAGGGATCCCCATAACAATGCACTGCCTCTTCTCTGCTTTCCTTTGCTGGCAGAAACCATGCCCAGGGCAGCGGAGCCCCATGGGCAGAGGCAGCAGTGCTCCAGTGAACAGAGAAACGCTGCTGGATCCCCACATGGCGAAAACAAGGAGTGAGGAGCAGGGCTGGTTGTGTGCACAGGAAGCCTTCCTCAATTTCGGCTGCTGTTCTCTGTCTGCCTTGAAAAATCAGTGCATTTACTGATTAAAAATAAAACCTCACACGTCATGGCTCCAGCACTGAAGGCTGGGCTGTTGTGCTATTTATTTTTAAAGAGAACAATATAGCAGCTGAGTTATTGTGACAGCTCCTGCATATTGTGCAGTAGCTTTTTCCCTCCGACGTCTCCATATTAGTGAAATCTGTGACAGCTTCCTGCCAAGGATTATTAACAGTGCGGGCAGCTTTGCGTCCCTGAGGGGAGCACAGACGGGTTGGCAGTGGGGTGGGCCATCACCCCAGAGCAGATCAGTGCTGAGGTCCCCGTTTTTGGCGCTCTCTTTTTGGCTGAAAACCCCTTGCAGTGCACGGGGAGCTCTTGGAGCAGCTCCCATTCCTGCAGCACGCCCCGTGCAACACGTTGTATGTGCTCAGCAGTGATGCTCCCTGCATTTTCCATCCCCTGTGATGCAGTTTTCCTGCACAGAAGCTGCTGACCCCGCATGTAGGTGAAGGGAAGGAGCATCTCTGCCCTCCTTCTGCCCATAACAACGTGCTGCTGCTGCCTTCCAAGCAAAAAAATGAAACGTTCCTTTATTGGCTTCCACGTTGGCTACAAAATGTTCCGTTTTATCATTTTTTTTTTCTTCTTCTCTCTTTACTTTCTTCCAGGAAACGCTCTAATTTATGGTATAATCTTGGCAAATCCCAATCCTGGGGAACACAAATTCGCTTGTGCCCAGTAAATGGCACTTTAATGGGCTGCCTCCAGCTGGCCTGTGTGCCTGCCTCTGAAAAGAGAGGATTATAAGCTCACCCCAGCAGTGGGGCTGTGTGTCAGCAGGGATGGGGATGGTGGTGGAGCAGCACGTGGAGCACTGTGGCCCCGCAGGCAGCGAGGGGCTCTTTGGGGGCACGGAGGGGGTTCTGAGAGCCCCAGGTGAACCCATCTAACAAAGCTGCCAAAATAAATCGGTGTAATGGAGAGCTTTTGAAAGTTATTCAGGTGTTACGTCCCACTCTGACATGGAGAGAGGCTGCAAAGATGCTTTCTTGTTTTGGACACAAGGTGAAAATCACGCTGCCCTCAATGGAGATGCAGGCTCTAAGAGCCTGCTTTTATCCTGGGAGGAATAAAAAGGAAAGTCTCTTTCACCTGGAATGAAAGGGGAAGGCCCAGCAGCCACTGAGGCCCTGAGACAAGGAATGCTTCTTGCTTTTTTCCCCTTCAGGATCACTCTTCAACCTGATTGCATCCACCAGCTCTGCCATTTAGCGGTGATGCTCCAAAGAAGAGCCTCAGTCCAGGCAGGACTCCTGAATTCGGCACATTTCTACCCTCTCTGATCCCTTCTGATCAGTCAGTCTGGAATAACCAGGTTCTGTGCCTCCAGATGCCCTCTGTTTTTGCTGCAGAACGATTAGGGGTAATTAGCATCCTTTTTAGCAGCAGAGCTGCAAGGAATGCTTCACGCTCCTCGCAGCACAAGGGCTTTTGCAGCTGAGGTGTGAGGAGGAAGCACGTGGCCTGGAATCGCTGCACCCAAGCAAGCCCTGCAACAGCACTGAGCTCCAGCAAAGGCAGATGACCTCCATGCAGACCCCACAACTCTTCCCTGCTGCCCCCGTGCAGGATCAGCGCTCCCTGAGAGCCTGCATGTCTGCAGCAGCCTGGCACAGGCAGAGGACAGATCGCCACAACCTGAAGCGTCTTCCTCTGCTCAGCCGGTTCAGCAGCGCCGCATTCCAGGTAGGGAGAACATTTCTCCCTGACCTCAATTTATGACAAAACCCCGAAGCGCGGGGCTGGATTGATGGCACGAGGAGATTGTGTCTTAGGAGCCGCTGTGAACGCTGCAGCAGCTGTGCTAATTCATCATTCCTTTATTTACGAAACGCGCGTGCAGGCTGAGCGCAATTAAATGATGTGCTTTGGGATCCTAGGAGATGAAAGGATTCACGGTAAACGAAGGTTTGTTACCCTGCTTTACCATGCGCTGAGCCCACCTACAAAAGCCACGGCAAGCCAGATGCAAAGCATACGGCTTTAAAACCAAATCAGCACTGGCTGTCAGCAGCTGTGTGTTTGATCTGGGCACCTTTCCCCCTCTTTCCAGACAACTCAAGCCTCCCCGTGACGTCTCCCTGCGACAGGCGACTGAACAGCTTGCAAAAATAATTTGGGGAGGGGGGAGATGCTGAAACATCTGGCAACTGTGTGGCAGCACTGCTTGCAGAACTCAGGATGTAGGAAGAGACCTTGCAGATAGGCTCACGGTCTCCTGGGAGGTGCTTTGAGAGGTGGGAGTGCAAGGAAGGGGATGGCAGGGCTGACAGAGGGGTCCTGGTTAATGCATGACGGGCAGGGGGCTGGCATGGCAGCTGGCAGGAGGGCTGTGACCGGTTCCAGGGTGATGAGAGCTGCTGCTGTTCCCCTGGGCCTGGATGCTGCCCTTTTGCAGCACTGTGATGGGGATGCTGCTCCCCTGGGCCTTGGATGCCATCCATCCCAGTTCTGTGGTTGCAATTCTGCTCCCCTGGGCCCTGGGTGCCACCCACCTCTGTTATGTGAAGGCAAAGCTGTCCCTTCACAGCGCTGAGATGGGAATTCTGCTCTGCAGGACTCCGGATGCCATCCATCCCACTTCCGTGGTGGGGATGCTGTTCCTTTACAGTACTGTGATAGGGATGCTGCTCCCCAGGACGACGCCATCCATCCCAGCTGTGCGATGCAGTGCTGTCCCTTCACAGCACTGCAATGGGGATTCTGCTCCCCAGGCCCTGAATGCTGTCTGTATAGGGATGCCATTCCCCAGGTCCTGGACGCCATCGATCCCAACACAGCCATGGGAACTCTGCTCCCCAAGGCTCTGGATGCCACCCATCCCAGCACTGTGACAGGGATGCTGCTCCCCACGATGCTGCCGTCCATCTCAGCACGGTGATAGGGATGCTGTCCCTTCTTAGCACTGTGATGGGGATGCTGCTCCCCAGGCCTTGGGTTCCACCATCCCAGCTGTGTGCTGTGGATGCTGTCCTTTCACAGCACTGCAGTGGGGATGCTGCTCCTCAGGATGATGGCATCCATCTCAGCACGGTGATAGAGATGCTGTCCCTTCTTAGCACCGTGATGGGGTTGCTGCTCCCCAGACCCCGCATGCTATCCGTCCCAGCTGCGTGCTGTGGATGCTATGCCATCCATCCCGGCTGTGCAATGCAATGCTGTCCCTTCACAGCACTGCAGTGGGCTTTCTGCTCCCCGGAGCTCTGGATGCCACCCATCCCAGCCCTGTGACAGGGATGCTGCTCCCCACGATGCTGCCGTCCATCTCAGCACGGTGCCAGAGATGCTGTCCTTCACAGCACTGAGATGGGGTTGCTGCTCCCCAGGGCCTGGCTTCCATCCATCCCAGCTGTGTGCCGTGGATGCTGCGTCCCTTTGCGCAGCACTGCTGCCCTCTGCCGGCCCCACCGCCCCGCTCCGCCCGATCTCGGTCTCGGTTTCGGTTCCGCCCCGACCGGCGGCGGTTTCCGGGCCCGTCCACCGCTGCGTTACCGCGGGCCGGGTGGGGCTGTGCGGGTTGCGTTGTTGGGATCCGGGGTTTCTCCCCCGTTCGCAGCCGCCTCCCGGTTTGGGAAACGAGATGGCAGCCAAAACCCGGGCTGCATTTCCCGACCCGCCGGGAGGTGAAACCTTCCAACCTTCCGCTGCCCCCGACAGAAAACGTTGCCCCGGGGGAGGGAAATCTGCAGCCCTGAACCGTCTCTGCAGCTCTGCTGCTCGAAGCTCGGCTGAGAGGCGGAATGTAGCATGGTGATCTAAACCTTAAATGGAGAAAATGCTGATGCTGGGAGGAGATGTAAGGACCGAACCCCTGGACGTCGGTGTTTCTTGGTCCCAGCTGTGCTGAGACAAGAGGTAACGGCCCCAGGTTGTGCCAGAGGAGGTGCATTGGTCTGTCATTCGGTAGTGCTGTGTGCCTGGCTGAGCTGGGGGCCTGTGCTCATTCCTCTGTTAGGGGGAGCATCCTCCTGGGCTGCTTGCAAGCTGCTTTCTTAAGCCATGCAGTTTTTCCTCAATTAAGTCAGTGATTGAGCAGCTGCAGCAAAATGCAGCTGGGATGTCACTGCTCCATTCCCTTCACATGGAACTAAAAAACACACAAGAGATTGGGCCTGGAAGGAAAAAGGGAATGGGACTTTGGGATGTCAGTAAGGTGCGCTCACAGTCCGATGGCTCCCGTGGTAGAATTTGCTTGACAGGGGTTGGGACCCCTTTCTAACTGCTGCAAATGGGAGCCATGAAGATCAGAGAATCACAGAACGGCCTGGGTTGAAAAGGACCACAATGATCACCCGGTTCCAACCCCCTGCTGTGTGCAGGATCGCCAACCAGCAGCCCAGGATAATTGCTCTGACCACCTCTGCAAGCTGCTCAGGATCAATCGGCTGGGAAATCCTGCTCATTAAGTTCTTCACGCAGAACTTAAGAAGCCACAGAAAACCACGAGGATCCCACGCCCTTGCCAGTCTGCTGGAAAACAGAGGCAGGGCTGAGCAGATGGGCAGGAATGTCCCTGCTCAGGCAAGCAGCTCTGATCAGAAGCCAGCAGCAGAGGATGGAACACAACAGGAATGGCCTGGAAGGTGATGACGTGCTGTGGTTGCGATGGGATGGCAGGCAGAGAAGAGCAAGGAAAGGAACTTGAAGTCTACAGACACACCAGTGTGCAAGGGGCAGGGAAATGAAGGTTAGGGATTTGAACAGCACATCTGCGACCAAGCTGAGGGTCATGCCAGCTCTCTAGGTGAGTCCCTCAGCACTGAAACCAAAAGGGAGGAAACAAGCACACTGCCATTCCTCAGGACCAGCATTTCTGTGAGTTTTATGCTGATGGCCTGAGCAGGACAGATGTAAGAATCACACAGGGGGTCCAGAAGATGGATGTACACTCGGTTACTATTTTTTCTTTTCTTTTGAGGAAACTTCCACAGTATCTTTAAGTTGTGATTGTGCCCAAAGGAAGGTAAGCAAGACAGCAGCCTGTAGCACACAGCACCCTGTAT